AGAGTGAGGGCAAGCTAAGTGCTTGAGATGAGAAAGCCCTTTTTGAGAATTAGCAAGTTGAAAAATAGATTAGCACCCAATTTTTAAATAATTAGTACCCATTTTACATTAATATCTAAAATATATAATCGCCATAATCAAGAAATGAATGTTTTAGTATAATCTTAATGTTATTTTTATTTTTTCTAACAACTTTTCTATCATCTTAATGTTAAATAAATTGAAGGAGACTATATACCTCTAATGTTAAATTTTTTTTAAAAAATGTTTCCTTTTTTTAAAATTATTTTCTATACATCAACGAGATTCGAACCACTGACTTGATGTTCGATAAGTAAACGTTTTTTTTATAATTATAATGGGTCGGGCTGGGTTTGGAAAATATTTTTATAATATGTTTTTTATTGGAAGCTGAAAAAAATTTCAAAATTATTATCGGTTGGCCAGGTTTGAGAAAAAAAATTATAATGGGTCGGGCTGGGCTTGGAAAATATTTTTAAAATTATATTGGGCTACGCTTGGGGAAAATTTTTTAAATTATTATCAGCTTGGATGCTTGAGAATTTTTTTATTATTAACTATGGATCAGACATTGACCTCAAACAAATAAACAAAGGCCCATAGAATCTGATTTTAATTGTATTTTTAAATTCATTATATATTTTTTTAAATATTTTATTCCAGTTCTCAACTACCAAAATTATTATGATCTTTGGTTGAGGTTGGGAAAATTTTTTAAAAATTGTTATGATCTTTGGTTTTGGGTGGCAAAATTTTTTCATAATTATTATTGGCCTTGGACCTTGCTTGGGAATTTTTTAAATATTAAATATTAGGCATAGATGAACAGTAATATTTTAACAATAATAAATAATATTGATATGGGTATCAAGTAAAAGCTTTAGATATGTTTTGATTCAAAACATACCATTTAAACTTAGTTTTAATGGATTGGACCGCCTGAAGATGGGAAGGGGTTTTAAAGAATAAAAATTGGATATTATTTTCAAATAACAGGTAACAACTATCATAAGATGTGATAATTCTCATTCCCCGTCATTTTTGACGGACTCAGCAATACTGACTCCGACTAAGGGGAGCTCTGGTACTCTTATTTATATATTTTTCATTTTTCCCTTTGAGATAGACGGGTCATCATACTTTTCTCCCTTATTTGATGATAGATGAATCAGAAATTAAGAATATCTTATGAGGTGTGATATACAAATTTACCTCTTTTTCGCCTAAATTTTATTATTTTTATTAGTGTTGTTAAATGGCTCAATTTGAGCCGATTTTTAAAAACGGCTAACTCAATAATTTATCCAGAAAAATATTATGCAAGCCTAGAGATTTTGCTCATAAATGGCACATAGTATAGAACATCTATTGGCGAAATCTCGACAATTAGGCAATATTTTCCTGGCTATAATTTTGAGTTAGCCGTTTTTAAAAATCGGCTAAAATCGAGCCGTTTAACAACACTAATTTTTATAATATTAATAAAGTATATTTAGTACCATATACACAAACTAATTATACTTTATTCCCGTCATTCTTGACGGGTTATTAATTAGTTTTATTATAATAGCTTTCTTACAAAATTTTATTGCATATTTATATTTTGCATTAATTATTATATTTTTCTTTTCGTTTTAAGCAAAACAAAAGAGTGTAAAATTTATGAAACAAATTTTAAATAAAATTGTACATAATCCATTTATGATTAGTTAATTATTCTATTATTCTATTATTATTTTATTAAATGATTCTATAAATCAAATAAAACAAATCCTAACTAAACATCAATACATTCCGGTTATTTAAACTCAACGTACATCTATTTTTGCACTGATTTATGGCTATAAAAATGATTTTGTATTTTTCAATAATTTAATATTCCTTTTTAAATCATCCGATTATAATTCAAAAAAAAATGCAAAATCAAAGGATGAAATAATAAAAAATATTTTTCTAAAAGTTTTGATAAGAAAATGAAATGATACATTAGATTAATATATACTTATTTTTTGTCTTGATTTTTAAATGTATTCATGAATTTAAATCAGTATAATTTTAATTCTGAAAAAAATAAAAATAAAAAGATGAACTTGGTAGAAATATTTTTCCAAATTTTTTAATATGAAAATTTAAAAGATGTATACTTTTAGTTAAGGGTTTTTTAAGATTATTTATTGGTCAGGAATAGCTTTTGAGTTGCTTTCTACATTTATGTTAAATTATATTTTGATTAGCAATTAGATATAAATATATAATAATTAAAGTAGAAGATATAAATCTAGACATGTTTCCCAGCCGAAGCAAGGCAAAGGCGGGCCAAAGCCCTCCCCCCCCCCATCATAAAATTAATATATAAATATAGTTACAATTTTGTTACAATTTTACTATCATTGAAAGAAGTACGGTATTAAGTACATGAACTATACTACAGAACTGGTCGTAACAGAAGGTAAGTTGGTTAATGTTTTGGATGGGCATGTACACTTTCTTTCCATCATTATATAATTTGTATACCTGAAAAACCCAGTATCTTGGTATATTGGGGAAAAGGTTAAATATGTTAATTCCCATACACGCCTTAATTATGCAAGAGATTGTGAAAATTGACCCATAATCGTATGGTTTTGTATGGCAATAAGTCTATTCACAGATGACTGTTATCCAATTGGCGTTCGGCAAAAGTCGACGAACACCAGTTGGCCGAACACCAGTTGAACTTGGCATATGTACGTTATAAAATAGTTGGAATGAATGTTCCCCTCTTTTATATAAAAAAGGAAAGGCCAGAATATAAAGTTCAGGGTGACCAGAAAGTCACAAATGAAAACAAAAAAATATATATATGTATTAGGCCCACTGTAAAAAGCTAGCAACTCCCCTGTCCTCTAACTATAAGCTCCTTTTTAAATTAAACTAGCTACCGCTATTACTATTTCATAAAAAGGTAGTCCCGCTTTTGCTATTTAGTTTTTAAGAAGAGCGCGCTCTCGCATCAAATTTAAAAAAAAGAAACACACTTCTTAGTCGCTCCTTTGATTTTAGTTTTTATAATATGAAATATACAAATATTATGATTATCTATATACATATTATAATCAAAGATAAGGATTAGTAAAAATAATTTATATTTTTTGCTTTTAAAAATAGCAATTTTCTACCATATGAATTTGACAAGCATCACAGTCTGTTTAGTATTATTAAACAGGCTCCCAACAGGAACTAGAAAGAGGGGTACTGTTATAAAAAAAATTTAAATTTAAATTATTAAATTAATATTTTTTGTGGTGGTATTGAATGTTTTTTTTGTTTATATAATCTTTATGACAATCAATTTAATTGAATCCAAAAAAAAAATCTAAATTATTGGAGGGTATTCTAAATGTAATTGTAGTATTTGTGTTATGATTTGTTTTATTATACAATAAATTATTTTTTTTATTCTCTATTTTGATCAATGCTTAACGTTTTCTAATTCATTTTAAATGCAGGATAAAAATAGACATAGCTTAGCCAGGATTTTGATATGATTAGGGTAGGGGCACTATGAGGAAGGTCGTTCCCACATGTTTTATTCTCAAGGAAGGGAGGGGTATTTTATAATAAAAATAAATTTGGGCTTTCATTTTTATCTTAAAAAGTGTTTTTTCTAAAATATTTCACATATAGAGTTATTTTAAAAAATTATTATCATTTTATTTTTTTAATAAAATTCTTGTTTATAGAACTACAATACATACTATTTTTGAGGAGACGTAATATGGCAGGGTTTAGTACGTGCAATGCAACAGTTACCGTTATTCATGGAAAATATAATAGTTAGCCTCTCCTCAGTACCTCAAAAAAAGTTAACTGTTAGTATACTTCTTTATAACTTGTAACAGTTATAAAATCGTTACATTAAAAAAATTAATTTCATTTTGCTAAAAGTCATTAAAATAATAAAAGGCAATATAAAATATAAATGCTCTATAGTTCTATTGGAATTAATATAAAAATAATAAAATATTATAATTTTGAACATATCTTAAAAGATTAAAATTTTCAAATATTTATTAATTGGCAATAGAAAAAAGACGTTCAATGGGCGCGGAGGATGATAAATTTGTCTTATAAAATGAATAAAATTTCTTGCTTATAGGATATTTATGCAGTATATTAATTTCAAAAGATGGATCATGGAAATATAAAATTATTTCAATCTCGACATCATTTGAATTCTTGAAAAAACAATTATAGTAGAAAACTAATTTAAAACTAAGTGCAGAATAATGGATAAACGGATTATATTAACTTTGAATTTGAAACGGAATAAAAGTTTAGGCGAAGATATATGGAAGCATTATAAAATGGGAAATTGTGTTATATTCCAGCAGATTCAAAACTATAGGAAATGAAGAAAAATGAGGTCAAATAAAGTAATAGGATTAAATGAAGGCAATGAGGAAGCATCAAGTTTACTATTCGGTTCCGAACCCCACGAATCAAAAATAAGTCTAAATAATACGTAAGAAGTTTATTTCAAATCCCCGTATTAAAAATAATAAATTACAAGGAAATTCATATAAATATATTATATGACATACCTAAATACCAATAAATTACTAAAATTTGTAAAAGCAAAGTTGTTTTATTTATAATTCTATCTACCGACCGGGTGTCTCGAAGCACTATTTATTATATTGTTTGGCGCGGTATTTTCAAAAATGGATGTCGAAGCTTTTCAAATCGGGCAATTTAAGATTAAAGATGTTTTAGCTGAGAAAATTCACGATCTATTTGCTGATTTTTTAATGAAGTATATAATAAATTTAATGATTAGTACATATAAATATATGCTTAGTTTTGATATTGACGAAGATAGAATTTATTTAAAGGAAATTAATGTCTTAGCATCAACTATTGATAGAAATACCTTGATAGTAGATTTTGGGCATGTAGAATCATTTAATCAAAATTTAGCAACTACAATTCAAGAAGATTATTACAGGTTACTTTATATAAAATGACCATTTTATATTTTTTTTAGAATATACTCTCACTTATGTTTAGCACTTAAACAAACTGTTGATCGTCACACAACCAAAAAGCAGGCTGAAAAATTTTATTATGTTGGATTTGCAAATATCCCTACAAGATATTCGTATTTATAATGTAAAATGTATTAAATTAATATTTTATCAGATTAAAAGAAATGAATTGCTTAAAAATTGGAACTCTACTAAGAGTGAGTGGGCAAATCATAAGGACACACCCTGTACACCCTGAATTAGTTAGTGGGACATTTGTGTGTTTGGATTGTCAATCAACAGTTAAAGATATTGAACAACAATTTAAATTCACACAAGTATTTATAAATAGTTTTAAAATTATTTTATATATTTTTTAGCCAACAATATGTCATAATCCAGCATGTACGAATCGTAGCAAATTTTTGCTTGATATTCATAAATCAAGATTTGTGGATTTTCAAAAAATTAGAATCCAAGAAACACAATCTGATATATCCAAAAGTAGTGTTCCAAGAAGGTATTTTTTTTAAAAAATATGAATCTTTTAATTTATTTAAGAATGTATTTATGACTGACAAAATTTTAAATTATTTTTAGGAATATATTTTATTTTCAAAAATAACACCAATCTTTTTTATTATCATTCAAAGTTTAGGATTTTTCTTTTTGTTAAATACTTTATCAACTGTCAAATTTATAAAACTTTAAAATAAAATATTGGATTAGACTCAAAATAAAATACTCAAATTGAATCATTTTTTTAAAAAAAATTTTAGATCTGGTTTAACCTTAAATATAAATAATTTAATTCTTGAATAATTTTTTTTATATTATATGTTTATATTAAAATAAAATAGGGTCTGATCCAATTAGATAAAATTTAAGCCCATTACTAAATGATCTGGTTCTTTTTCTAAAATATAGATATAAGGTGTTTTTTAAAATTAGTGAAGCTTGGTTATAGTTGTAAAATTTATAAAAATTAAAATTTCAAAAATCGAGCTCAAATCCATTGTTGGGCTCTCAAAGTCAATTTTAGGTGTAATCTGTTTTAAGAATTTTAAATTACTTGATAAATATTTTATCTAAGTTTTTAAGGTATATACCATTTTATAGTACTTAAAATTTACTTAAATTATTTAATGTCAATATATTTCCAGTAAAACCAAAATGAGATATTTTGATTAGATGGATATAGTGAAATTAACCAATGTGTGAATAAATTTTTAATCATTAGGCATGATGGGCCTTCCCAAAATGTTTGCCAGGCATGATTGGGTTTGAACATAAATTTTCAGTGAATCATGGAAATTAATTTTAAAAATTAAAATGTATATTTGCTAATTTAATTCTGGAAATGGAATCATTTTTGAAAACATGATTACATAAAATTTCAATTGAATGGAAAATAATTTAAAGTAATTAAAGGAAAATTGAACATTTAATAACTAATTGTTTAATTTTTCTCATATTTATTTATAAATCTAAAAGATAATTGATGCAGTTTTAAATTTAATGAATATATTCAAAGATGATGAAAGGATTCCATGTTCATGCCATATATTAAATAACAATGCATTATATTTTTGAAAATTGTTTACCTAAAATATAACCATAAGTAAAAATGGTGTTAAAAAGATAGTGCAATATTTTAAGCAATCTGCAGCAAGCTCAGATATTCAATTAAGATATAATAACTATAAAACTATGTATATATTATGATACAAAGTTACTTATAAAATCATATGATGGAGTATAAGTTTACCTGATTAACTAACAAGAATTAAATATAATAGGTGATCATTGATATAAATATCATATGCCAGTTAGATATTTTTTTATCTATATTCAAAGAATCCTCAGATAATCTGAGTACACATTCTCATCCCACTATAAATAAATGAAATTTATATATGGAAACAAAAAAATAATAAAATTTTATCAATATCCTAAGATGATAACAAGACATGTCTTTTAAAGGATAGATTTATTATGCAGCTACTACATAAGATAGGCTAAATTCTAAATCCAAATTTCAATAGTCTTAAGTTTTTAACAGGTGATGAAAAGGTAGATACATATAAAACAACTAAAAATGCTAAATGAATGAAAATAATACAATATGCACGAAACAATGCCAACTAATTTTTAACTGATTCATCCTGCATAAAAAATCCTAGATAATTTTGAGATTATTCTGATAAAGCCTTAACATCTACTGATTAAAGTTCTGAAGATGAAACTTAAAAGATTCATTGCTCATAAAACAAATGCCAATGATATTGAAGTTTTGGAAGCAGGGAAATTCATTTCCTTTTTTGAAAAAATTAGCTGCTAAAATTTTGTCTGCCTCAACAAGTTCGGCTTCTAGTGAAAGGTTATTTTCTATAGCCAACCTCTTATCGGAGGAAAGATGAATACAATTAAAATTAATAAAAAAAGATGGACATTCTTCTTTCTTAATAAAAGTTTTAATTTATAGATTGTAACTATTTTGTGTTATTAATATGGTATATGCAAATAAAAACTATGATAGAATAAATTTAAAAAAGTGTAAAAGTATAGCAAGAAAGTTTTGAAATTAAAAATACCATGAATTTTTGGGTGTGATGGATTTGATCAAAATATTGTTATTTGTGAGCGAGCGCTCTGGTCAAAATTTTTTTTATTAACCCTTTCGCGCCCAGCAAGATCATTTGTCATCAAAATTTTTAATCAATTAATTTTTATATTTAAAGAAACTAATGGTTGGTACTTAGAGATATTAATTTTTAAAACAATATTTATTATTTCGTATTTTATCATTAACCTGTCAAAATCATTATTTTATTATATCAAAGTACAAGTATTTTATGTTCATGGGAAATATTCTGGGCGCAAAAGGGTTAAGTGTGAAAGGGCATGAATTTTATTATTATCCATGAGCAAGTGGATTGTGAGTAAAAAATTAGGCTTGCACTAATTTTGAGATTACTTTTGGACAATGAAACTCACCAGATATGTTTATTACCATAAATATAGTTAAAAAATTGAAATTTTATTTTGCTTTCATAATTTTGGGGAAAATAAACTAATTTTTAATCTTTATCTATGAGTAATTTGAGATTATTTAAAATGAGATTGCACTATATTGACTTTGAGAGCCCATAACTCCAGAATAATTTAAGCTAAAGCTTTACTTTGATAATTATTTAAGTTGGACTTATAATTATCATACATAGTTTTATTTGTTTTCAAACATGCTGGTCAAAATCTCGTTTTTTGGTTGATTTGTTGGAATGACCCTATATCCAGCTCATAAAAAAATAATCAGCTACTATCCAAATTTTTTTTAATGCCATTAAAATTGGAGGTTGATTTATACTGTCTGAAGCTAGTAAACCTGAATATTTATTATTTTTAGATTTCATGTATATTAATAGTTTTTTTAAAATAATTTTCTAAATACTTTGCTAACAAATTTTTAATTTTTAGATTTCTAGGAACTCATAGTTTATTCCAGGGATTCAAACCAAACCTGGAGAAGAAAACCCGGGTTTTTGGGAAAACAATCTAAACTTGAACCTGAATCCCGTTTACCAAACCCGTAAATTTTATTTGAACCCGAGTTCAACCAGGTTCAGTGTATTGTTTAAAATCATATATTAAGATATTTGTATAATTTTAAATACAAATATTAATAATTTAATTGAGATTTTATAATATTTTCAAATTTCCAATTAAGTGAAGCGGTAATAATTTTGAACAACTTAATTTATTTACGCCATTTTTAAAACTTATTTAATTTATTCTCAAAGATTCCTATTGGAGTGTTAGTAAATTTTAAACACTTAAATTCATTTACGCCATTTATTTTTAATTTTATGATTATTAATTAGAGGAAAATGAAAGTGAACAAGTCAAAGTAGAAATTATTATGTTGTGTTAATTTAAAAAATTATTTCAAATTTTTTTTAAATCGTATAACTATGCTTTGTATTTTTAACAATATTTTGCCTATAATAAAAAAATAATTTTTTATGCCAATTTATATCTAGTTTTTTAATTATGATATAAATATTTTTTTTTATCAATTCAAAAATTCTAAAACCCGAGCTGAACCCGAAACCAAATCCGGGTTCAAAAATATTTCCCTGAAAACCCAAACTGAACCCACCTATTTTTATTTTACCTTAAACCACACTCAAACCGAACACGGGCAAAAATTTGGCTGAGTTTGCATCTCTGGTTTATACTATTTATTTTTTTCGATATTTTTTATAACTTACTATGCCTTTTAAAAAAAATTTTGGATGGCCTGGAATTTTTTTTACTTATCTTTAAATTTTCTGGATTGCCATTTTAAAGTGTTTAACATTTTCTATTAGTTAGAATTTGTAGTTTATCAAAATAAATAATTTTTTTGAAATTTTATAACATACCTATACATTTTTTAGAGCTTCCTTTAAATTTTCTAAATCACCTTGAGATGTTTAACATGATTTCATTTTTGTCCTACCCTTCATAAAGCTATAAAATTTGTCATAATTAACACTTCATAGTATATATGACTGGATATTAATAATAAATAATTATGAATGAGGAGTTTTTAAAATCATTATATATGCTAACCCTTCATAGGCTATGCCTAACCTGATATAAAATGTAATAATAACCTTGGCTGACGTATTTGCCATCTAAATTCACATCAATGACAAACATTATTGAATGTAATATGATATATATAAATCAAATGTCAATAATGGTAATTTTTTGTTTATTAATTAATTTGACAATTTTTTGCTTTCATTTATGCTCCTCCATAAATAATAATATTCATGCTTCTTTTAATTCAAGCTTTGATATGATAGTGAGAGGTGAAATGGTAGATGTGGCAAGACCTGGAGACAAATGTGATTTTATTGGAACTCTGATTGTCATACCTGATATTTCAAAATTAGCTACTGCTGGTAAGAATAATATGTGATTTTATAATAAAAACGGATATATTAATAGATTATAATAGCATATAGTAGATTAAAGGTTTAGCCATGTTGGCCTACAGCTTACAAATTAGTGATAGCCATGAAATTGGCTAATTAACCCACTGTCAAAAGGGCTAACCTTGAAACCAAATTAAAATCAGAAAATGGGAAATTATTGTACATAGGCCGTTTTAAAAATTGGCAAGTTTTTAGTTTAATTTTAAATAAAATTTTTGAAATTATTTCCATTCCTTAAATTTCAATATGTTGATAACATTGAAAAAAAATACATTTTTGAGTTCCATATTGGCCAAAAAATATATTTTGTACCAAGTTATGAAATGTTTAGAACTTGTTACTTATTAAAATATGCTACTTTATTTCTATTTTATTTATAAATAAATTCACATTTGTTATCTTTGAAAATCAATTATTACATCTAATAAGTATTAATATATTATATAAAAGTAATTAAATAAATTAATTCATGACATTTAATTTAGCCATGATATAAAAAATAATTTTTCTCAAGGTGCCCGAATTGAAAGCAGCACAAGAATAAAAGGAGGAGAAGGTACTCAGAATGAAGGTGTAAAAGGTTTAAAGGCATTGGGAGTCCGGGATTTGACTTATCGATTGGCGTTTCTAGCTTGTAACATAGAATTCTCTAATATGGATGTGCCAAAAAAAATCAATAATAAAATATATTACTTTATCTTTATATTTAGCATCAAGGATATGCAAACCTGGCCTGTTTCGTTCCAATAATTTTTTAGACAAATTTTTAAATTTTTTCCTAATGTCAATTAAGGCCTCATATATCTACTCTATGGCTATCTATTTCTATAATGATAATAATTTGTATTTTGATAACTGTATTTATAATTGAATCATATATCATAAATAATTTGTAGAATTTTTAATGAATTTATTATTTTCTTTATAGATTTAGTATTTTAAATAGACAGCTCTTAAAATAGAAAGAACTAAGCACATATTAATCAAAATAAATGTATTAACCTAAAAATACCTATCAAAATTTTAGCTCTTAGGTTGGCCTATTAAAGTTTTAATAACTAAAAATTTTCGAAATCTGACCAGATTTTTTATTTCAAGGTTGGCTAGTCTGTATATGAATTGGCAAGCCTATTTTTTTATTAAGGCATTGCAGATCATGAACTATGACAATTCTTAGATCGAAATTATTTAAAAATCTGTTCCCATTGGGTGACCACCTACTTAATTAGAACCGAATTGCTCTACTTGTGGAGCACAAAATGTATGAAAATGAAATATATATTGGATAAATTTTAATTTTTAGATGCTGAATTAAGTAAGAAAGGGTCAAGATTTTACCATTTTTTATCATTAAGCGATTAGAATTTTAGAATTCCAATCTTGAGTGCACATTATATTTTCAATTTTTTTAAAGATGGGCATTAATACAATGTTGGATGGTGAGATCAGTGCCGAGATGATCAAAGAACAGATGACTGAAGAAGAATGGTCTAAGATTTACGAAATGACTCAGGACAAAAACCTCTACCAGAATCTTATAAGCTCACTATTTCCCGCAATTTATGGTTATTTTATATATTTATTGGAACATCCAATAAGAAAGGGAGCCTTATATTATATTTGGCTAAATAATTTCATGATCATGAGAGTGTTTTTTTTTTAATTTTTACATCTTTGATAATAGCAAGCAATTCAAATATTTTCTTACCCAAAAAGAATTAGAAATATAATTATAATATATAAATAATAAGGGCTTTGATTAATGTATTATCCTATGACATTGAATATTATAACAAGGGATGTTGATATTGGATGATACTTCCAATTTTCACTGACCAGAATGATAATTAATTTTGATAAATTAAAAAAATGTTTAGTTTGCATTATGCTATGATTGGACAATGAAGAAGAAAATGTCTTACCCATTATTAAATATTTTATTATTAGATGCACAGTAATTGAGGGCCAATACTCACGGTATATGCTATAAGCCCGAATTTTTATAAAAATAATCATTACAAATGTATATGATATTCCAGTGTAGTTATATTTTTATATAAATAAATTGTATATTTAGTTTTAAATACATTTGATTAAGATTTGAAATATAAATTTTTTGGAAGGCATAGGAGTATTTTTGCTAAACGGTCTAATTTGGGTCAGTTTTTAAAAATGGCTTGGTTAAGACTTTAACAAAAATGATTTGCAAGCCTCAAGTTTTGGCAAATGAAGTCCACACCTTTCGCCATATATTAACAAAATATACAGGCCTACATAATATTATTTTGGCTAAAATCTTAATCGGGCCATTTTAAAAATCCACCCAAATTGGGCCGTTTAACAATACTACATAGGAGACACTTACTAATATTGCCTATTATACCAGCCTTTTCTATGTTAAATTTAAAATATTTTTTGACGTTAACATATACTTTGTAAGTATAAGTGGTATCTTTTGGGGATCGGTATTGGCTAAATAGGTGGCATTAGTGCATCTCTAATTATAACAGTGGGACCTATAAACAACAATATAAAGTAAGTGTGGGATTTTGCATTTAAATACCTTTTAGTTTAAGATATTTTATTTACAAAACATTCACAAGCTGAAAATAAAATCTAATTTAATCAAATGTGCAACATTACGTTAGTGATGAAGCATGAAGTTTATTATTAGGAAAGTAATTATTTTTTTGCAAAACTAGAGAAGAGATAGATGGGAAAGGTACATTAGGGAAATTCGCGGGGCGCTATTTCCTCTTCTTGCCCCTGGTGGCTAATGCTTCTATCTTGTCCGGCCTTCTGCAGTACGAAGTTGACGGGCTGAGTGTCAGACGATTTTTATCTCTTCAGCACCGAGATACTGCTCCTGATAGGATAGGTCATTAGCTTTAGCAGTTTACCAATTCCAATGGATTACCAAGGTGAGTACACGGATGCGCTTGGTCATAACTTCGACTAGCTTGGGATCCGAGTTTACGTTGAGCAGATCCACCACATCTTTTATGTGTTTGATTTTGGGGTGGTCCCTGTGGCCTTGCATCTCGGCTCCGCTAGATCTGTGCTGAGATTTAGCGTATTTCTCCTCCGAGGAGGTGCGTAGCCTGATCTCACGTCCAAAGGATGTACACGTCATGCTCCTATGGTCAGTTATGCTGCTAGAGGGGGATCTGTCTTTGTGTAGCCTGATCTATGGTTGTGGCTAGCATAGAGAGAGGGCTTGAATAGCCGCCATCATCGTCAGCATGTCAGAGTTGCTGGTACTTGGCATCTCTAGGGAGTTGTTCGGAGTGAGTTCATTTGCTGCCTGTCCTAGATTTATTGGATTTGGAGCAGCTATTTGTCCGCATTTGTTGCGAGTGGTCTTCTCATGATAAATCAAGTAAGAGACTGAAATAGGCGAAATAACAAATAATATCGGAAAAGACAATAATGGTTAACAATTAGTAATATAGTATGTGTATTTATATAAATAAATATTATCGGGAAATATTTAACATGTTAAAATTAGCGAAATTGGTTTTGTTTTTTGAGTAATATGACTAAATTGCAAACTATTGTTTTATTTTAAAATTTAAATCAATTAGATTGTATAATCGATTATGACTCATCCTGTCCAATAAGTTTTTATTCTTTTTAGAGATGAAAATTCCAACTCTACATTTGCCATTGTTGAATTAGAAGGAAAATTTTGAGATTTTTTTAAAATTATTTATAAAATATATATCTTCTGTGCAAATATTAAAAAGAGAATGCATTTTATTATTAAATATATGATATTAACATTAGTCGAAATTTTTTTTACCCAGCCTGAACCCCAAATTTTTTTTAAAAGTTTTGCCGGCCTGAACTCGAATTATTTTAAAAAAATTACCGGCCTGGCCAGGCCCGAATTTATTTAAATATAGAAATTAATTTTTATTATTACTTTAAATAAAAGAAATATGTTATATAGCGTTTAGTTTCAATAAATTAAATCAAAATTTTTTATTTTACATAAAAAATTCACTTATGCTATTTCTTAATATAACTTATAAATAAAATTAATTGATAATTGAGTCATAGGTATTGTAAAACCCTTCTTACTTTATTTCTTTTTCTTATTTTTCGTTTGGGGTTTTACTTTTACTCTTCTTTCTATTTTATTTGCTATTTTCTTTATTTACCTTACAAAGTTTAATATATATAATATATATATATTTGATGTTAATTCAATTTCAATGTCAAAACTTCTTTTTATTTCATACTTAAAACATAAAAACAGAAGAAAAAATAAATAAAAATATAATCATCGTTATCCACGCTTTTATATATTTTTTTACAATCTTATTATTTATTTATAGAAAAAAAGAATAATAATATAATCATCGTTTTCCACACTTTTATATATTTTTTACAATCTTATTTATTTATAGAAAAAAACAATAATAATATAATCATCGTTTTCCACGCTTTTATATATTTTTACAATCTTATTTATTTATTTATAGAAAAAAACAATAATAATATAATCATCGTTTTCCACGCTTTTATATATTTTTTACAATCTTATTATTATTTATTTATTCATGGTTGATATCCCTCGTCAATCTTCTTTCCCTTATTTATTTATTTACTTTTTACATTATCGATTTTCTTCATTATCATTCGTTTAGTTGTAATTTCCTTTGCCATTATACCTATTCTAGTCGGAGGTTTTGGTAATACGTCTTCCTCCCTTGACATGCCCCCCTCAGAAAATGTGATCCTCCGCATCCTTCTCCCAGAGGCTCTCCAATTCAGAATCGTTAATTAAAACCTCCCACCAATCTCCTAATTCTCCATTTTATCCTTCAGCTCCGCCTAGCGTCGCCGCTATGTCTTCTAACTCTTCCATCTCCGTCACTTCCAGACTGTCCCTCAGATCTTCCGTCGCTGGGCCCTCAGGAATTGCCTTCACCACCGCCGGATAATTCTTCACCCGTGCCTCATTTTCCACCATCAAATCGACCACAATAGGATTTTATTTTATTATAAATTCATATTGCCTGTGTTATAATTATACATTAATTTGATATAATAGGAGGCTCTATCAACAAATATAAATTTGTCTGTAATTTTTAAATTATAAGATTAATTCTTTTATTTGTTGATGTTTTTATTGTTGTGTTTCTTTAAGGTCATCCCCAAGTCTAGTTGAACCTTTTTTTTATTTTGCATTTCTAAGATCATTTTGTATCAATTTTATAAAAGCATATATATTTGGAGATGAGGATTTGACTGATTTATTTAAAGCAGAATGCCAGCCCTCTAGGTGATCTTGAGGAAACATTGAATTTTGTCCTATTAAATAATAAATTATTAATTTATTTTATATATTTAGTATACCGAGCCAGGTTTTATTTATGTATTAAAAAAACTATCCATAAGAAGATTATTGTTGCAAATATATGGCAACCGTCATTTATATCTTCAGGATTTAGTAGAGTTAGTATACACATTCTTCTTACAATAGTTCTAACCAGGGTTGGCAAGTCGGCCAATTTACTGTCAAATTCAGTCAATTGACCAGAGGAGTATTTGACCTGGTCAAATACGGTCAAATGCTCTAAAAAAATCTGAAAAAAAAAATTTAAAATATGTTTAAAACAGGAAAAAACGATATAAATACATGTGATCACAATGTTGCTTATTTTTTGGGTCCCCGGAGCATCTCACTAGTAGTGAATTCAATGAAGTATATGATATAATTCAAGAATTAGCCATTTTACAAGGTTGTGATGACCAAAATATTTTAAGTGATACAATTAATATCAGAAGCATAATCAGCATGTTAATAGCAATATACATGGAAAACAGTAGTTTCCATAATAAACAATCAATTCTGACCTCAATTTATTAGATTAAACTTTGCCAACATGCCCATTAAGAGACTAACAATTTCTAGTTCTTCTAAAGAAAAAGGTCGATTTGGGTTAAAATTCTTTTGAAAATAGAAATCGAAAGATATAGACATCGGGAAAATTGATTAAAGAAAATGATAATATTGAATATGAGTCAGAACAAGACTCTGCCACAGAGATCTAAACGTTAGTTATTGAATGACAATGAATTTAAAAAATTAATATTATAGATACATTTTATTATTATATTTAAAATAAAATTAATATTGACTTTAAAAAACATATATTTGAATTGCGTAAGTTATATTGAGAAAATGCATATGTGAAATATTCTTAATCATTAAAATTAATCTTAAGTAATCATATTTATATAGTTGCATCATCTGATATAAGAATTGCTTGATTGAAATAATTATCTTATATATTGTTAAGAAATTGATTAGAAATATCTGATATATTTATGAATAGAAAATTACCTGGATAAAAAATGTATATGATATTAAAAATTGCTTGCTTGGATTTGATAATAATTACTTGGAATTATCTAATATATTAAATAAATGCATATTGGATAATTACGATTAAATAAGCATAATAGAATAATTACGTTAATAATGGAACAATTACGTGCATATAAATTCATATGAATGAAAAAATGGTCCATTTTAACCGAAAATGGACCATTTTACGATCAAAGCCCTTCCGAAAATATGTACTATACATTTTCGGCTTGAGATCGTACTTCTATAAGCTTTTTTCAAAAATCGGGCTGCAGGCCTCTTTTATATTCAAAACAATCGGCATCTTTATTTTAAATTCTTTTCTATATATAGTGTTTTATAATTATGTAATTTAACTTCTAAAAATATGCAATTATAGACCTCCATAATATAATATTAAATGTAGGAAAGTTATAATATTCAAATAACGTAACCTTTAAAATATATAACGTAACCTTTATAATATATAAAACATTAAAATATAACAGCCTAGACCTTAAAAAAAATTACCGCCAGGTGATTGTTATCGGCGAAAAGGATGGTCACAGTACATCTTTGATTATAACTATTTAAAAACGGGTTTTATTGAACGTCATCTAATATTATATTTTACAAACATAATTTATCAAGGTAATGAAGATGTTAAAAAGGGTATTCTTCTCATGTTATTTGGCGGTGTTGGTAAAAGAACGATTGAAAATACTACTCTTAGAGGAGATATCAATGTTTGTGTTGTGGGTGATCCAAGCACTGCTAAAAGTCAATTACTCAAGTTATTTATATATTTTATTTTGTTTATCTTTGGAAGCTAGTTGTTGATATGCTCAAGAAACATTTTGCTTACATATTTGATTCTCATCCTAAGGCCATTTAATATTTTATTCTATGTGATATGTGATATATAGAGCTTTTGCCCTTTAGTGTTGAAGGTTCAACAGAGCTATGCTAGGTTTTCCTCGTTTCCATCTAATTGGAACTAATTTAATTTGGGTGTAAAGGGAGCCTCCACACTTTTGTGGGCAAGCCTCACGCACTTGAACGCACAACATTTCGAAAATGTTACTTAAACCTCTATAAGCTTATTTAAAAAGGAGTGGGGCAGAAAAAGAGCCTATACCCGAGAACTACAGCATAATTTAATTACTTTAAAGGTGGGTGGTGGCTGATTTTAAGTTTAAATTCTTTAGTGTAAGTCTAATGTTCATAGAATATGTAAATAAAGATATGATTAAATAAAAAAATTTGCCTGATCAGTATGATAGAGTTTTATATTAATAATTCATACCACACAAATACAGTACTATCATTTATTCGCACCGGATCATAGTAAAATTTTATTCATTTAAAAAGTCATTAAATCATATGTTGGGTAATGTTATGATAAACCTTGATCAAATTTGATGCTTACAAATCATCTTAATATTTTATTCGGTACAATTTATGAATAATTCGATTATTTAAAAAAAAACTTATTTTTTATGCGAATATATGATAAGCTCAATTTATAAATCCTAACCTTCTCACCACCCCAATTCCTGCTATAGCATAGATTATTCTCAGCTATAGATTTTATTTTTATTTAGCCTAAAAAATCATAAATTAAATAAACAAAAAACTAATTAATTTAATTTTGGGTAAATATTTTGGCCCAATTTAATAAAAATTTAATTGATCACATCTAATTGAATTTTTTTTAATATCATTTTATAATACTTACTATATTAGACATAAATAGATTTCTCATTAAAACCCAACAAAATGCTTAAATTTTTTTATATATGTGAGCCAATTGGAATTTTTAAAAATACTTTTTTTATATAGAGCAGTTGAAGAATTCAGTCCACGAGCTGTGTACACTAGTGGTAAATCTAGTTCAGCTGCTGGGCTCACAGCTGCTGTTGTCAGGGATGAGGAAACTGGTCAGTTTGTTATTGAAGCTGGAGCTCTTATGCTGGCCGACAATGTAATAAAAAAACGTATAATATTATTTATCAGAGAACCTGTATCCTATTTTTATGAAATTTAAGTAAATATCACTAAGAGGGCTGGGAATTTTGCGTCACTCACCCTGTATCTTGTGCCAAACGGATCCCCATTAGCCTATGAGTGGACATCACATATATATGTTTCAAAATCGTCATTGGCACATCTCCGAAATTTTATCTAGGGTTTAAAGACTACTAGCTAGATTTTTTACCACTACATTTTAGTCCTAGTGAAGTTAGAACCATAATTATCAAAAAACGAGAGATACGTTTTTCTTTAAAAAATGTATAATGATTCGCTCATATTTAAGTTTAATACAGCATCTTACTTGCGAATATATAATTATGATTAGATGAGTATTATGATATGTTAAAATAAAAAAGCTTGAAATTGTATTCTCTTAATGAGTGAACACAATAATAAAAAAAATAAGCTTAAATTAATTTTTTTTGTAAATTATGATTTGAAAAGGGGGTATGTTGCATTGACGAATTTGACAAAATGGACTTAAAAGATCAAATTGCCATTCACGAAGCAATGGAACAGCAAACTATCTCCATTACAAAAGCAGGGGTAAAAGCTACTCTAAACGCAAAAACTTCTATTCTTGCAGCCGCTAACCCTATAGGGGGCAAATACGACCTTTCAAAATCGCTTAAGGCTAACATCAGCTTGAGTGGTCCTATCATGTCTAGATTTGACTTGTTTTTCGTTCTGGTGGATGAATGTAACGAGGTAATTATAATAGGCACTTTCCTGTAAACGTTTCTCCTTTAAAAAATAATTGTAATTTTGTAAAAGAAAATATTTTTTCAAAACCATTTAAATAATCTATTTTAAGATGTAATCTAGTTAGCATGTTATATATTGGTTTTATTCTATGTTTAACCTCCTTTATATAATAGTTGTTGCTAAAAATATTTAGATAATTGATAACGCTATAGCTAGCAAAATAATAGCCCTTCACAATAACGATAATGATGAGCAACTCAAACAAGTCTATTCCTACAAGTCCATTCAGAAATACATACTGTTTGCTAGGAAATTTAAACCAATGGTAATTTATATATTTTTTAAAAAATAATTGTCATACATAATTAGATCCTATATTTTAAATTTGCACAATTAACATAAAATTTAAGATAAGCAAAGCGGCGGCTAATTGTATCGTGGACAAGTTTAAACAGCTTAGACAGAGAGATGTGTCAAGTATTACTAAATCGGCATGGAGGATCACCATTCGACAGTTAGAAAGCATGATTCGAATAAGTGAAGCTATAGCTAAAATGTATTGCCTTGATATGGTATTTTAAAATATTTTTTTTTAATTTTAATTCTTCTTTTTTAAAAAAAATAGGGTTATTGTTGGCCTAGCACTTGAGTCATGCAAGTCATATTCTGGCCTAAAAAATTTAAGTAGCTTGGACATAATTTTTTTGAAATTAGGGCTGGAATTTAAATAGATATAAAATTATATTTTTCTTATATTATTAAAATAAACTATAACAAAATAATTAAGGTTTTTTAAAAATTCAATTTATAATTTTCAAATGAAAATTTTTGGGTTGGACATGAAACGTAATTTTAAATTTTTTTGGCCAAACTTAAAAATTATAGGAAATGCTTAGGGCAATTGAATTTCAGATAAACTGAATTTTAATTTCTATAAAACTTATTAAGTTTTCAATATAATTTACTTATAACAATAATATCAATAGTTAATTTTATATACATAAGCATCTTATAATATCGATTATAATAAGCGACCGTTAGAACTGGCCTATCAGAAATCAATATTGAATTGCAAAAAATTGTTAAATACTCATTAAAGCATAAATTAATTTCATTTGCCGATTACTCCCTTCCTTATAAGATATTTTTTATTTAATAACTTATTCTGAAGTTTTATTAACATTTCAAGTGGTTATTACGTATATTAAAAATTTATCGAAGTCATATTAACTTCATAACTTCTAATTTTAACGTCTTTAGCTTACTTAAAGTATATAGTGTAATTGTCAATTGTCATAACCTTAAGTTTTTTAAATATTATCTGAGTAAAGACTTTGAAAATAACATTCTTAATTTTAAAAAATTTGGATGCATCTATGTTTTAAATATACTTTAATTTTAATCAAATTATTTTCAAAATCTAAAATAAAACAAATTTTGATTTTCTAAGGAATGAGTGATTTCTTTTGAAATATTTTCAGTCAGTTGGATTCGAAAAAAAATAAAGCAAAACTACTCTGTCTTTTATCTCTTTCAAATACTTACCATTCTAATAGAAATATCTTATCACAACTTTATAAATTGAATTTTTATTTAATATAATATTATAGGTAGAACCAGCCCACGTTTTAGAAGCTTACAACCTATTAAATAAATCTATTATAAGAGTGGATCATCCTGATATAGAAATTGACAGTTATCTCGATCAATCTATCAACCTTCAAGCTGATTCACAAAAATCATCTCTTATAACACCCACTCAAAAGAAGTCTTTAGGTTTGTATAGTGTTATAAATTATATAAAAAACCAGTTTTACCTAACATTTTTATATTCATGACTAATGATTTATTAGATCGAGATATACTCATTGATCTAGAAAAATCACCTATTCCCCGGAAAAATGTCAAAGTAAATTATTAGAATTTGTATTACATGTTAAAAAATTTTGCTCTATTACCATAATTACTATACTTAATACATGATATTATCTAAATTCATTATTTAACATTTTTAAAGCTATCCTACAATGAATACAAATCCATAGCAAACATGGTTTTAATTTACATGAGGCAACAAGAAGCTATACTCGAACAAGACACTACAATACAACAACAATCATCAGAGGATACCTTATCTCAATCAACATCTTCTAATTATCTCAAAAGAAGTCAAATAATTCAATGGTATTTGGATGAGATATCGGCTGATATAGACTCTGAAGCTGAACTTATAGAAAAAAAATTGTTGATTGAAAAAATTTTGGATAGACTTATCGATATAGTTTTGATTTTATATATACATATACTCCTATTGAATTCCATTTTAAATCAACCATATCATCTAAATAATGGTGACTTTCATTTTATTTTGCTATAACTGAGTGGAACTTTTGCGTTCCTTAAATTTTATTAGTTAATTCAAGCTACATAATTATATTAGAAGATTTGTTGCTTAAAATAACTTATCCAAGGTGTTTAAATTGACCTTATTTTCAAGATTTTTGAAAAAAAAGGATCAAATGTCCTTATTTCGATATCATTTTGTAAAAATTCTGATTTTTGATAATAAACTGATTATATTTGTTTTCCTAGCATAGTTGAGTGGGCTATAAATTTTCTAAATTGGAATGAATTTTTAATATTTTCAGGCCAAATGAGCAGAAGAGACTTCAATTTATTAAAAATAATAGTTTAATTTTATAATATATCATATTGTCAGAGTTGTTAACGCTCCTTTTTAAAAGTAGCTAGCTCCCACTCCCGCTCCTACCTTCTCAAAAGGAGCTAGCTCCCGTTCCCGCTACTACATTTATAAAAGGAGCTAGCTCCCGCTCCAAGTAATATAGTGTCACTCCAAAACCGCTACTTTTATTTTCATTTTTTAGAAGGTACACGAAACAAAATCATATTTTTTTTATCAAAAAGCTTTATTTATATTAAATGATCTATCAAAATGTTTATAACCATTTATTAGCTTTTAAAAGTAATAAATTTTCTAAATTAGAATCTAACAAACATCCACGCCTCTCCCCTAAGACCTATTTTACAATACTAAATAGGCGCTCCACAGGAGCACTAGAGGGAAGCGGGGTATTTATTTTATAAAGATATTTTTTAATTCAAGAATTTATCAAAAATAGTAATTTTGGTATCATTATTTAAAAAATATTTGTCCAGTATATTATCATCCTGATGATCAATTTCATGGAATCCAAAAAAAATCTTATAAATCAATTAGTATTTAAAAGAAAGATTTTTTACTTTTAGATGCTTTTTTAGATTGAAGCTGCTAACTTTTGAAAGTTTAAAATATTTTTTGTATAATGGAAATGGAAATTTGATTTCTTCATCTATGATCTCTAAAACTATTTTTTATTATTTATAAAATGAATATTAATATGACTTACAAAACTTTCAATATAAAAAGGAAAACTTGATGTTTAATATTTAAAATGATTAGATGAAAAACCAATGTAAAACTCGGCTAAACATTTAATAATGGATAAATTTAAATAAAATAAAATTTCATTTTTATTGAATTTTAATTAACAAATATTATTAATATTTAAAAAATAATTAAATTTATACATTAAATTTAAAGGAGCGGTGAAGTGGCGCTCCTACACTCCAGCCCTAAAAAGAGCTAGCTCCCACTCCTGCTTAGTGTTGTTAAACGGCTCAATTTGAGCCGATTTTTAAAAACGGCTAACTCAATATTTTAGCCAAAAAAATATTGTCTATGCCTCAAGATTTCGTTAACAGATGTTCAAACCTTTGTGCCACCTATGAGCAAAATCTTAAGGCTTGCATAATAATTTTCTTAATAAAATAAAATATTGAGTTAGCCGTTTTTAAAAATCGGCTCAAAATGAGACATTTAACAACACTACCTGCTACTCAATTTTTTAAATATTTATTTCAAATTTCATATATATTTGTTTATTACTTATTATGTATATAATTAATGTATTACTTATTATATATAAGTGATTTAACAATAAAAATATTTTATTGATTGAATATAAACTATAACTGATCATTATAATATATTTAAATGACATAATTTATTGTATAGTTAAATTATATATGTTATACTAATAAAAAGTATATTAAAAATTAAAACCATTGGTTTCTTTACAGAATGATATCGTTATTGGTTTCTTTACAGAATGATATCGGATCGGTAATCGGCCGATATCAATTTAATATCGGGAATATCGGATCGGCCTCCAAAATTTGATATCGGTACACCCCTAATTAAAATAAATAAACTGTCACCAGCTATTAAAATAATTTATAAATATTAGGCGAGTGGGTGGGTTTTACAAAATTTTTATAATCGATGGATGGGTTAAAAATTTCAAAATAACAAGTGGACGGACTTTTTGGCTAAACCTCCCCCCCCCCATGGTAGACCTCTAATATATATTTTAAAAATTAATAAAAATGATTTATATTTTATTCTCTTCTCACTTCCTTAAGCATTAATTAACTAACATTGTTAAATAATAAAATGTATAATTACCAATGGCTTTCCTGCAGATTTGCTAAACCCTAATTTTAAAAGTAGCGCGCTTCAGCTATTTTTCAAAAAATTGGCTCGCTACCCATCAAAAAAATAGCGCCCTAAAAAAATTAATAATTGAAAAAAGGTAGCGCACTATCAGCTATCGCTAACACGCTACTTTAGCAACTCCTTTTTCCTATTTAAAAATCCCTCCCCCCCTTCATACAAAAATAAATTATATTTAATATAACTTTTTATTTATAATATGTATATGTTTGCGACAAAGTATTTTTACTGACAATGTGTTATTTTTACATACAACTTTAAATCATTTTTTGGGTTTGTTTTAATAAATTTAAAAATCGGATTTTATCAGAAATATATTCTATCATGTTTGGAATACCTATCTTATGAATTGTAGACAATTTTGTTGTTAACCTTTGAGTCATTCATAATTTATATAGAAAATATATGAAATCGAATATAAATTATATTAAGTTTAAATGTTTATGAAAAAATTGTCTGAAATTCATAGAGTAGGTATTCCAAACATGATGGAATACAATTCGTATAAAATAAGATTTTTAAATTTAAAAAAAAACACGCTCATAAAATGAATTTAAAGTTGAAAAAATAACACATTGCCAGAAAAAACACATTGAGGCTAACATATATAAAAAATGAATTTTATAAATATTTTAATTTAATATATTGTATAGCTGAGTATAAGTATTTTATCATATAATAGAAAAATAACATTGAAATAAAAAGCAATCTTCATCTTCCTATGGGTGTGGGATTAAGTTCTATTAAATTTGAATTTTTTGCTTAATTATTTACCGAGATAGTAAAAAAGGGGGGTGCATTTGTTAAAAATTACGATTGAGTTGATTTGATATAGAATAAATTATTCTATTGTAAACGTTGAATTTAATTTATTACTTACATCGCCAATTTTTGCCAATAACATTCAAATTTTTAAAAACCTTAATCAAAAAAATTCGTTACTTCACCAATGAAATCAGGAGAAATTTTCTAGATTAGACAAAAAAATTAAATTAATATTATTGGATTTGTTCCTTTTTTAGGGGAACATAAATATTTAAATTTATAATGAATTTTACTTATTTTTAAAAGTTATAACCAATATACATATTTAATTATGCTAAATTAATCAGAATCTATTTTATATAATTTAGGATCACGTTATAATCAAAATTGGAACCTATGGGCTTAAAGGATCTCAGACTCAATTAAAGCTTGATGATCCATTTTTAATTGTTCATCCAAACTATGTACTGGATTTAGATTAAATAAGGCATTATTTAACTTCTATTTTTTACTGTAATTTTATAAATATCTTTTTGTATATACTATTTTTATGGCAAATTTTTTTTGTGACAATTTAAAATATAAAAGCGCCTTAATTTTTTTATAAATTTTACATAATATTTATATAATATATTAATCTTAATTATGATTGGTAATATTGACCTTTTTATTAGAACTAACAAATAATTAGTATTAGTCTTTAATGATAGCTTTAATTGGTGAGAAGATTGTGATATTAAACCTATATTTTATCTTTTTTAATAATATCTTAAATTGCTTATTATAATTTATTAGACACAATTCTTATCTTATAGAATGGGGGAGGGTAGGTAAATTGAAAACTATTTTTAATAATAATAATCATTTCATCATTGGGAGAATTGGTTTCCATAGAAGCTAAGCTAGTTCTTAATGCATTTGTTCTTGTTCCTTGATTGGAGCTGGTCAAAAAAAATTTGCCTGCATGATGAAGATGATACAGGGTCTAATTTACAATCTTGTTAAAAGGTACTTTTAAAAGTAGCGCGCTATTGCTACCATTATTTTAGAAATAAGCACCACGCTAATTAGGTTAATGATGCTTACTACCTTAAGGTACTACCTATCAAATTTGAATTTTATCATTTTTCATTTGGATAGGCACTACCAAATATATTTATAATATATATTTAAAAAATCGTGATTTTTGGAAAGCCTCTATAGCCTAGTAGGCAAGAGCTTGGCTTACTGATCCCATGCTCCCGGGTTTGAATCCCGGGAATAATCATGTTTTTTTTCTTATTCTAACTTGGTGGTTCCATCCTTGGGGGGATGATATATAGAAGGCAGGACTCGACCACGTGATTCCGTATTAATATATTAAATAATAAGGGTCTTATTACATTTTAATAAATTTTGGTCGGTATTTAGCAAATTAGGTTGGTATTAGAATATTTCCATACATTCACTTGGTAGTAAGCATCATTAACCCGCTAATTACGCTACCTTATAATTTTTTTTACGTATCTCTCAACAATAAAAAAATATGCCTAATTGTCATCCCCAAAACTAAAACCACGAAAGTATAACAAATGACTAAATAATTGTTCAACACTAGCATACAATGCAGTATAAATTTTAATATACATATTTTTTATATATACGATATTTTTAGATTTAAAAAAAATGCATCTAAAGAATTTTCAATGTTGTTATTTATTTCAAAAAAATTATTTATAGAATGTGGCGTTTTAGATCTGGCTTATATCTAAAATTATGTAGGGAATAAGTGGATGACCATATTTATCATTTCACCAGGCTACAGCCCCCCTTTAACTTTTATCTATTGAACCAATTATTGAAATATGCATTTTATAGCATGTTTTTAAAAATAATGAGCACAAAGATTTAGTTAACCAATCTACTCCCGATAACATTTTTCCTAGATATAATTGCAGGAATGATAATAATAATTATTTTAGACCTAATAATAATTTTAGATAAAATTTTTATAATAGAGATAATAATTATAATAGGAACAGAAATTGGAATTACGATAATAATAATTTTAGACAAAATTTTTATAATAGAGATAATAATTATAATAGGAACAGAAATTGGAATTACGATAATAATAATTTTAGATACCATTAGTGTTGCGTAATCGGCTAAAAACTACGCCTAAGCCTAATTAGATTAAGCCTAAAAATCGGCTAAGCCTATATAAATCTGCTAAAATTAAATTAGTCAAAATTCTGCATCGATGCTTAGTATTATTATTTATTTTAGTAAAATAATTTATTTTATTTATATTTAATGTAAATATTTTATTATTATCAACAAATAAACATGATATGATTTAATATTTTTTATTTATATTATATTTTGAAATGAAAATAAATTATTTATTTGATGTTATTTTAATAAAAAAAATAATATGCTGCTATATTGTAATATTCTTTTTAATATAATTTATTAGTGATTTTCACAATCTTCTTTATAAATACATCTTTTATTGAGGAATTATATTGTAAATTTTATTAGATAAATAAACAATCTTTTAGGTGAAATCTTTTATATTTTTTTATCATTTTTTTAAAATTATGTATTTTTTATTAAATGAGGTGGATTTTATGAAACTTTTTTGATGATTTTATATGATCTTTTTAAGGATGATATTTTAATGTGACAATTGTCATAATCGTTATTTTATAAGTTTTTTTAATTTTTTTGAAGAAAATAGGTTAAAATAAGTATTAATAACATGTGTAAATATAAATTTAGTGAAGATGTACCAAAGAAAAGTGACAATTGTCATAATCGTTATTTTTAAAGTTTTTTGAATTTTTTTGACGACAATATGTTAAAATAAGTATTAATAATATGTTTAAATAAAAATTTAGTGAAGATGTACCATAGAAAATTGACAATTGTCATAATCGTTATTTTTAAAGTTTTTTGAATTTTTTTGACGAAAATATGTTAAAATAAGTATTAATAACATGTGTAAATATAAATTTATTGAAGACAGTGAAAATTGTCATAATCGTTATTTTTAAAATTTTTTGAATTTTTTTGACGAAAATATGTTAAAATAAGTATTAATAACATGTGTAAACATAAATTTAGTGAAGATGTACCAATGAAAAGTGACAATTGTCATAATCGTTATTCTTAAAGTTTTTTGAATTTTTTCGACGAAAATATTTTAAAAAGTATATATAACATGTTTAAATAAAAATTTAGTGAAGATGTACTCTAGATAAGCGACAATTGTCATAATCATTATTTTTTAAGTTATTTGATTTTTGTTGACGAAAATATGTTAAAATGAGTAATAATAACATGTTTAAATAAAAATTTAGTGAAGATGTACTATAGAAAAGTGACAATTGTCATAATCGTTATTTTTAAAATTTCTTTGATGTAAATGGGTAAAAATATAGAATGTAAAATTAAAATTGCCTGAGTATATGCCATAGAAAAACATATGGTAATAATAGATTCTTCCCCAAAAACAGGAGCAAATTGGCATTTTATTACATTTGTTCATCGGGTCAGAAATTAATATGCAAAATTTATATCATAATATCTAATCCTAAGTTAGAAATTATTATTTTTTTACCAATTTTCACCAGACAATCTTGTTTAAAATTTGGGTAAACTTTTTTTTCTATTTTAAAATCAATATCGATGCAAGTTAACTATTTTCGTCAAAAAACTTTAAAAATAACAATTATGACAATTCTCGCTTATCTAGAGTACATCTTCACTAAATTTTTATTTAAACATGTTATCAATACTTATTTTAAAATATCTTTGTCAATAAAATTCAAAAAACTTTAAAAATAACGATTATGACAATTGTCACTTTTCATTGGTACATCTTCACTAAATTTATATTTACATATGTTATTACTTATTTTAACGTATTTTCGTCAAAAAAATTCAAAAAACTAAAAATAACGATTATGACAATTGTCACTTTTCTATGGTACATCTTCACTAAATTTTTATTTAAACATGTTTTTAATATTTATTTTAACATATTTTCTTCAAAAAAATTCAAAAAACTTTAAAATTAACGATTATGACAAATGTCATTTTTCATTGGTACATCTTCGCTAAATTTATATTTACACATGTTATTAATACTTATTTTAACATATTTTCATCAAAAAAATTCAAAAAACTTTAAAAATAGCGATTATGACAATTGTCATTTTTCATTGGTACATCTTCACTAAATTTATATTTACACATGTTATTAATTCTTATTTTAACATATTTTCGTCAAAAAAATTCGAAAAACTTTAAAAATAACGATTATGACAATTGTCACTTTTCATTGGTACATCTTCACTAAATTTGTATTTACACATGTTATTAATACTTATTTTAACATACTTTCTTCAAAAAAATTCAAAAAACTTATAAAAGAACGATTATGACAATTGTCACATTAAAATATTATCCTTAAAAAGATCATATAAAATAACATCAAAAAAGTTTCATAAAATCCACCTCATTTAATAATAAATAGATAATTTTAAAAAAATGATAAAAGATTTCACCTAAAAGATTGTTTATTTATCTAATAAAATTTACAATATAATTCCTCAATAAAAGATGTATTTACAAATAAGATTGTGAAAATCACTAATAAATTATATTATAAAGAATATTACATTTTTACAATATAGCAGCATATAATTTTTTTTATTAAAAAAACATCAAATAAATAAATTTATTTTCATTTCAAAATATAATAATATAAATAAAAAATATTAAATCATATCATTTTTATTTGTTGATAATAATAAAATATTTACATTAAATATAAATAAAATAAATTATTTTACTAAAATAAAAAAATAATAATTAATGCTAAGCATAGATGCAGAATTTTGACTAATTTATTTTAGCCAATTTTTAGGCTTAGCCAATTTTTAGGCTTAGCCGATTTTTAGGCTATACCTAATTAGGCTTAGCCGATTTTTCCACCTAAAATCTCGGCTAAGCCGTTTTTAGTCAGCTAAAATTAGCCGATTACGCAACACTAGATACCATGATAGGAATTACGATAATAATAATTCTAGGATCCCATGCTAATTATAATAAATACCGCTACAACAATAATAATAAATCTAATTACGGTAGAAATAATACATGGTATGATAATAATCAGAGGAAACATCCAATACAGTGATCGAAATTAGAGGTCTGCAATTCTAAGAAAAAAGTTTTATTGTGTTTATGATGGGAGCATTAGGCTCTGCGCTGATTTTAAGAACACTCTAAATCCAGCTCTAGAAAACTTCAGATATCCACTTCCACGAATTAATGATCTAATAGCTAAACTTTTAGTAGGAAATAAATTTAAGATCGATTTTAAAAATGCTTTTTTACAGGTCCCGATTGATAAAAGTTGCAGAAATATTTTAATTATATCTACGAACAGCTGCTATCTTCCAACAGATCATGGAATAAATCTTCGGTTACATGAAAGATATGATATTTTACATTGATGATTTACTTATAACCGGAAAAGACGATGAAGCTCACCTAAATAACATAAAAAAATGTTTGATAGAATATCATCGTTT